AGCTTTGAGGGGAAAGGGGCAATTTTTGCTAAAAAATATGGATGACTTGCTCAAATTCACTTTTTGCCCTGTAAACTTTCTGTACTTGTCAAGTAATTGAAGAAGCAGAGAAGCATGGTAGTCATCAGCAGCACACATAACAAGTGCATCGTCAACAAAAAGAAGATGAGATATGGAGGGACCTTTTCTTGAGATTTTGAGGCCTTTAAAGTTCCCCTTCCTTTCTTCGACAAGCAGCAGCTTAGAGAAAATTTCAGCAACAAGAATGAATAGGTAGGGGGATAAAGGATCCCCCTGCCTAATACCTCTAAAAGCCGTAATGTACCCTTGCACCACACCATTAATATTGAATGAATAAGAAGCAAATGACACACAAGCAAGAATCCATTTCACAAAAAGCCTGTGAAACCCCATCTTAGAAAGAATTTTTTGAATACAACCCCACTCAACTCTGTCGAAGGCTTTTTCAAGATCAAGTTTAACTGCCATGTACCCTCTAGAACCAGTAGAGTGTCTGTTGAGAAAATGAATGGTTTCTTGGGCTAAAATTACATTATTAAACAACATCCTCCCAGGAATAAAGGCTGCCTGGTTCAAACTGATGCAATCATGAAGGGATGGTTTCAGCCTGGAAGTTAGGATCTTAGAAATGATTTTATAGGTGACGCTGCAAAGACTTATAGGCCGAAAGTTTGCAAGGGAAGTTGGGTTTACACATTTGGGTATAAGAGTGATGAGGGTGTGGTTCCAATTTTTCAGAATAGTGCCAGATTGAAAGAAACTTTGGACAGCTACACAAAGATCAAATTTAATGACATCCCAAAATGTTTGAAAGAAGAGTGGGGACATACCGTCTTGGCCAGGAGCTTTGTGTGCATCCATGCTAAATAAAGCATCTCTGATGTTTTCTTCTAAAACAAGAACAACAAGAGCAGAGTTCATCTCTTCTGAAATGGATTTAGGGATAAGTTGCAAAATACCATCATCACCAGAGTCCCCTTCAGAGGAGAAAAGAGATTTATAAAAATGGCTAACACAATTCTGGATATCTTCTTCAGTTTCACAGATTCTGCCCTTGTCCCCGATCAGTCTAGTAATGGCATTGTCTTTTCTTCTTTGCAGAACCAAGGCATGAAAATATTTTGTGTTAGAATCCCCTTCCTTGAGCCATTTGATCCGGGCTTTCTGGTGCCAAAATTCTTCCTCGTTTTTTAAGATCACCCTCATCTCTGAATTAAGATTGTGTCATCTTGTCCAATTTCTGCTATCACCCATTTTGCAGTTCCTCCAGTCTAGTAGCAACTCTGTCTTTTTTCTTTTGTCTTTCGATCTTAAAGAATCTGCTCCATCTCAGGAGAGCCAATCGAGTCTCTTTAATTTTTTCTGAGATTTGGAACATAGGAGTCCCAGATTTCGGGGCATTCCACGCATTAGTCACTGTGTCTTGGATCCCCTCCATAGTAAGCCATCTTCGATAAAAAAAGAATCTCCTGCTTTTCTTATGAGTTGCCATATCTGTTAAAGGAAGCATTCTGTAATCTGAGGCTGTTTTATAGAAGGTGTCTACTTGGGCATTTTGATGAGAGGAGAGCCAATCAAAGGATTCAAAAATTTTGTCTATCTTTTCTTCGACGAACCTTTCAGCTTCTCGGTTGTTTGCCCAGGTAAATTGGTGTCCCAACATCTTGACTTCTTGCATCTGCATTGTGGAGATGAACTCTCTAAATCCTCTTAGATCAGAGTTTGCTGCAATTCTGCCTCCCCTTTTCTCGGACCCCTCACAATAAGCATTCCAATCTCCTCAAATAAGCCAATTGTCACCCCATTTGTGTCTGGCATTTAAGAGAAACTCCCATTGACTTTCCCTGGTTCTTCTATCAGTACTGGAGTAGATGAAGATTTACCAAAGAGAATTGGCTCCTGGGGATTCATTCACTTCAACTTCCAAATAAAATGAGTGCTCAAGAATTTGGATAATAGAAATATTTTTATTCCATAGAAGAAGTAGACCACCACTCAAACCAATAGGGTCTACTGCAAAAAACTTGTCTTTGAAGCCAATTTTGTTACAGACAGTTGAGACAAAATCTTTTTTCTTTTTAGTTTCGGACAAAAAAATAAAATCAGGATGATGAACTCTTGAAGAGTCCTTGATCTGGAAAACTGTAGAGGGTCCACCCAAACCTCTACAGTTCCACAGGATTATCTTCATTTGGAAACTTGGGGCCAATTGAGGCTGGCTTCCTCCACCTGAGAGTTGTCAGAAAGTTGGACTTTTGCTTTTTTAGAGACTGGAGTTGGGACATTTATATCAACATCAGTGTTAAGGTCATGGCTACTGAGACTTCTTTTGATAGAAGAGGAATGATGAGATGAAGCAATCTGCTTACCAATGCTGAGCAATTCCCTTTCATTACTGGGATGTCTCTTTCAACCCTTTCTTTTTGGGAGCATAAGTTCTAGAAGAATTTCCACATCAGCTGATGGTTGATCAGAATCTTGGATTCAACATTTAGCAGCAATTTAAAGATTATCAACTGCAACATTGTCTTCAATGATCTGAAGATCATGTGGTTCCTGATTGGCATTAATAACACCTCCATAGCAATTCCCATCCATTACTGGCACTTCATTAAGATTGAAAAGAATAAGATTGTTATCATTAGCAATCGGGTCGCATATCATTTTTGCTGCATCACAAGGTTGGGAGCTAGGGGATGCGTCTTCCACGTTGTCCTTAGGTCGAACATTGCTACCATTTGAAAGGTTAGGATGCGCAGATCCTTCACCCTCGTTCTGCAGATTAGTGTGAGGAGAGAGAGAGCCATTTGAGTGACTCGGTGGGCTGACCGAAGGATGAGAACCATTGCCAAAGTAGACCTCTGGAGCTTTGAGCCACTCTCCAAATTGACCCTCATCAAGAGAGTGGTTAGCTATATCATCCATTCTCTTCTCACAGGATCTTTCGAGATGTCCGATGAATCCACAATAATGGCAAAAATTAACTAGCTTTTCATATTGGAATACGACCATAGCTAGCTGGTCATGAAGCTTCATGTTAGCTACTCGTAGCAAAGGTTTAGAGACGTCGATATTCACAAGCAGCCGCAGAAAACTGCCTTTGTTCCCACCAGCTTTGACAACCACTACATTGAAAGTTTTGCTGAAAAGTTTACCAATCTTGAGACCCACGTCCGTGCACAACCAATTGAGGGGAATGATCCTCACCTGAACCCATATTTTTAATTCCAAAAAACCCTTGTGGTTCTCAGTTAGCCTAGCCTCACATTCTCTCAGAATAAGATACTGATTTTTGAACATCCAATGCACCCCTGTAGCCACCTTCTTTTTATCCTCAACATTCCCAAAAATGAATTGGAAATAATTGGTTTTCAGCTCCCGAACTTCTACTGGGCTTTGGATTTGCCAAATAAGCCCCATTGCCCTTTTGATCCCAGAGAGATGAGCTTTCCTGTCCCCAATAATTTTGCCAAAGAGGCTCTTTTCACATTCTGCAGCACTAAGACGGATATCTCCATCTTCTAATTCAACAAATTCCGCTTGCGATAGAGAAATTTTTTTGAGTTTATATCCTAATTCTTCTGAAAATCCATCTACTGTAGGAGCTCCTGACTGGGAAGAGTCCATCGCAGTGGACTACAGAATTATTAGGGAAAAGAAGACCCCTAAATTAAGAAAAGAAACAAGAAGGGGAGAACCTTAATTAGAAAAAGCACAAAAACCCTAGAATTAGAAATGCTGAGCTGAGGGCCGAATTGCAAGATGGTAAAAGCAGAGGAACTCCCAAGGAGTAGTGGAAGATCAAAGAAATGAAAGCTCTTCCAGAAGAGAATCGATATACCCCCAAGGAGTAATCATTTGATTGGTGCGGTCCACCTTGAGTAAAAGTTAATCATAAAATGGGGAAAATAAGTTTACAAATATGACAACGAAGCGCAGATTGATGATAAGAGGCTTCAGCTTTGACAGGTAGGTTATGAGGTCGAGTCATCAAGGAAGGAAAATAGAAACACTAAATGATCTTCTTTTATTAAAAGAAAATGAATTAAGTTTCCAAATATTTCGACATATAGATTATGTTGTAAAAGAGTAAATAAAAGTACAATAAAGAAGAAAAGACTTGTAAGTGGAAAATGCATCGAAGAGTTGCAAAATGGTTGAGGTATTATTTTAGGCAATCGGTATTGAATGATGATCTAACATAATATATATTAATACATTGGGCAAAAAGACATAACTATGTAAAGAAATAGAAACATTCTATTAAAAACACTAGTCACATAGAATTCTAAATATGCCAAACCACTTTCTAAAATAGTATACCTTTAGTTTGATTCACACAACAAAAAGGATTGTGCTTATCACATTAAACTCGATCCAACCTATTTCAGTTTTAAATATATAGTAAGCAAATAATAGATGAGATCTACAATAATTTTTAGCAAATAATGGTTGGAATTTTAAATAAATTTTAAGAAATAAAATTTTATTTTATATAGTTTGATAATCAATTTCTTAACAGATACCAACGCCGGCGGCGCCGGACTACGGCTTCCCAGCCGTGACATTAAAAAGAAGCCAAATAAAACCAGTTAACCAATTAGTTACACAATTTCTTAAATTTTTTTTTGTCAAATTAACCAAACAACTCTTGGCTAGTTTAGATTTCGAGCTCGATATTTTCTAATTTTCAGCTTGTTAATAGCTCAGTTGTTGAGCATTTGAGCCCAGTTGGAGCTCGATTATTTGCTCATTTTGTTAGATTGCAGACTCAAATCTGAGCAACTTTGAACAAAGCTTAGCTCAATTTTCCCGGCGCCGGAAAAAAATCTTCATAATAGTTTGAGCCGCAAACTAGCAGTATAACCAAGTGACATTTTGTAGGAAGAAAAACACAAAAAGGTCGCAAGTTCAGCCGTTTAAAAAAAAAAATAAAACAACTCCTCTCTTGTTTTTCTCCCCCACTTTCCTTCCCCTTACTATTGAGAATAATTCCTAATCGACAAGTGGTAAGCCCTGGCCTGACAGTAACGGCTTTTCCCGGCAACGACGGGATTCCCAACGACCGGAGACGCGCACCGCCTCACTGCCGTGGGAGGCGCATACGCGCCGTAGAAGGCGGTGGCGGAGGGAGGAGCAGCGCCGCGTGCCTTCGCGGCGAAAGGGAAGTTGAAGCACGAAATGGGAGACGACGGTGGGGTGATTTTCTTCCAAGATCTGGCCGGAAAAAGCACCGCCCTAATATTTGCCTCCAGCGACAACGACTTCTCGTACTCCTCCACCACGCTCCGGAGCTCTTAATCGGACTTGACTGTGACCAACACGTCGAGATCCTCACCCGGCAGCTTACACGTCAGATTCACGGAGGATCCACACGATTACCCCAATTTCACCATCAGCTATGTACAAAACCAGAAAAAAAAATCAGAACAAAATATCATATTCCTAACAAATCGATGCCAAAAAAAAGGATTCAAATATACGTCTAAATAAATTACAATTGAAATGTAGACGGGATTATGAAAAAAATTCAAGAATAAAATAAGTAAATGATAAAAAGCATGAAGCCGGAAACGAAATAATTTTTATCTTAAAAATTCAAAAAATTTTATCGAATAAAATAAGTAAATGATAAAAAGCATGAAGCCGGAAACGAAATAATTTTTATCTTTATTTTTTTGACGGTGTCACTAAAATTGAGAACATTTAAATCATTTATGGAATTCCATGCATCCCATTGTTTTGATGGAATGCATCTTTTAAGGAGGGATAGTTATGTACTTTTCCCAAATCAATTTTTCATATAAATTACTAGCAGTACAATTAGATAAACGAGAAATTTTCATCCATCCTCATTATTAAGGAAATATTCTAAAAAAATTAATAGTACAATTAAATCAGCTCCAAAATTGTAGCAAGAAACAAAGACAAAACACTCTTTGGACGCAATCACAATCACGCTTAGCCTAATTATTAAGGAAATCTCAGTTGTTTTTTTCTAGAATTACAAATACTGGTCTTCTAACTACGGTGGACACATGTTAATATGCCCATCGTTTATGTGGTATGCACACATTGATGATGTATTTTTTTTTAACATATTAACATCACCAATATGCGAATGCACTTAAACGGTGGATATATTAACATGTGACCACGGAACATTATTCTTACAAATACATCTTTTTTTTAAAAAAAAAAAGCTTTGAAATTGCCAATTGTCCACCGAAAGTACAATTTTTTGCCGTTTGACTTGTGCTTCTATTTTTACAAATTGCAGGCACGATTTTGTGTAATCAATTCAAAAGCATTTCATGCAACTATGCGTTATTTTTTCCCTAATTATTATATAGTAACAAAACTAGTAAACACCCGTGTATTATACGGGTGCTTGCTAATTTTTTTCTTAATATCTAAAATTAATAAGAAAAAAGTAGTTTGAAAATTTAAATACCTTTTATAAGAATATATATATTATTATATATTTATTGTGACACTTTTTATTTGTGCGACTTACTTGTGTTATATTATACTATTTTTTTTTAACTTACAATATATAACTACATTACATATAAATATATCAATTGTGAAATAATTTTATTTTTCTAATGAATTTTAATAAATATTATTATTTATTATTATTATAAAGATAAATATAATTTATTTATTTCATATATACAATATGGATGTTAAATCGAAGATCATCAAAAGATGATTAATTTGATATATTATATATGTAAAACCAATAAGAAATACAAAAGTTATCAACTTTTAAAATACATTTATAATTCAATAGCTTATTGAATGAAACAAATCAAAATTCAGGGATATATTAGTCACTTATTGCTTTACTATGTAAAATTACAAAAAAGTTAAAGGGTTATATTAGTAAAAGTGATATTAAAATACCTAAGTTAGCTAAATAATATTTATGGAATACCCGAACCTAGATGATTAATTATTAATATATCAATATTATTCATCCAAGCCTAATTACGAAGCATGATTCTTCGTCAAATAGGATTCCGAAGCACCAGAAGCAGCCACGTAAGCTCAGCGCATTCTGAAATTATATATAGAAAGGATATGCAAATATAATTGATTAGGTATACTTTTATAAACCAATTTATTTATTTATTTTTTTTTTCCAACTTATTAATATCAATCAACTTCCCAGACGTGCAAAAGCATAAAAAGAGTGCTCATGAGGTCGCCCACGCTGTTTTTATTTATAAAGAAAATGGGCCACTTTGCCTGTTGCCAATATAGCATTGCATATTTGCATTACTTTTTTTCAAAACCATCTCTATAATAATCTAAAATTAAATGTCATACATGGACATTTTATTGTTATTATTATTATTATTATTATTATTATTATTATTATTATTATTATTATTATTATTATTATTATTATTATTATTATTATTATTATTTTTAAATTTCAGA